ACACCATAGCAAAAAAAAAACATACGCCTGCGCCTGCACGTGACCTTTACTGAAAACAGATGCGTCTTCTGTTCAAGTACCCTGCTTCTTCCGTGATGTATGAAAATTTTGAAGAGTAAGTTATATGCCCTAAGTACGTACTACTAACAATGCCATAACTGTCGCAACAAAGGACACGATCCCTTTGCTGAGTTTTCAAGAAGTAACGCAGACAAGACAGTATAATTTTGAAAACAGCCACCAGGTACCAAACTCGAAAAACACGCACGTTCTCTCAAGCTTTCGCTTACACCAACTAGATGAGAAAGCCCTGTTCATTCTCTTCTCGTTCAATCGCATTCGACTTCCTCTCCTCTCAATGTTTTCTGCACTTCGTGTGGTTTTCCGATGCCTGTGAGCCCGTCACACATTTCATCATGCGACGATGTCACGTGATGAGGCCATCACGTCATGATCAAGAAATACATTCTGCCGACGTTTGACGCCACTATCACGTCATAGTCTGAACTCACAACATGACGAAAAAGTTTTGCTTCAAAAACGCTGACCTCAGCGCCACCGATGGTCAATTTTTCGCACCTGATGAGGCATCTGAGCCTTTTACCTTAAATGGACTCTAAAGAAAGGAACGAGTTTTGTGTTATTAGTTAATTACCCTTCCACAATTCCGGAATCACCCCATTTGGCACGGGAGGACGTTTGCGGGGCGAGAAAACAAGCAAAAACAAAATTCAGCTAGTGACGCAACTTCGAAATTCCTGCACACGACATCGCAAATTTTGACGGTGTTTACAAAGGCCTACGTAACTTTTAATTCGTAAAAATGAATCACAGTGTCTTTTGATGAGGCCAAAGACTTAACACACCAAGTTTCACATTTCATCAAGCGAATGTCAGCAAAATTCAACAAATACACTTTGAAACTAGTGACGTCACAGGAGCAGATTTCGGCGCGAAATTTAATAAAGGTACTTCCACCTTATTTTTTAATAAAGAACTCATAATGGCAGTGTTAATGATATCATAGTTCTCAAAGAAGACTTTTTCTAGTCTAAATCAATTCATTGCTTCACCTTATTGTCTTATTTGTTAATGCAGTCCTCAGTACATGACATACTACACAAACCTACTAAGTCCACCAAACTTATGGTTCCAGAGATACGGCAAGAAGGTATGCCTAAGTGAGCATCTAATTAGAACATTCGCCCCGCCGCGGTGGCCTAGTGGCTAAGGTACTCTGCTGCTGACTCGCAGGTCGAGGGATCAAATCCCGGCTGTGGCAACTGCATTTTCGATGGAGGCGAAAATGTTGTAGACCCGTGTGCTCAGATTTGGGTGCACGTTAAAAACCCCAGGTGGTGGAAATTTTCGGAGCCCTCCACTACTGCGTCTCTCATAATCAAATGGTGGTTTTGGGACGTTGAGCCCTACATATCAATCAATTAGAATATCCCTTATGTACACACGTGCTTTGAGATTTACGAAGACCAGCACCATATCAGACGCAACATAAACGTCTGACACCTTCAGAAGTTGCAGTTGGAGTTGCAGTAGAATTCGCAGCCATATTACCAAGACCTTGTCAGCCCTAGATTGTTTAGTGTTCTGTCTACGCATGCACGAATATTTATTAATGAGCTCATAAAGCTTGGAGACATTTCATTTCTAAAGTTTATGCTCAATGAATATGTCACAGAACCGCTGAACCAAATCAAAATATGAGAGGCTCCTTTAAATTGATACCGAGCGTCAGATCCCCTTTTCAAACGCATTTATGTATATTGGGTGTCGTAGAATATCAAGCACGAAGCTAACTTAATACGAATATTCTACGTCATAGATATTGGCAGTTTCTTTCTAACGCATCCATATACACCACTATGTCGTACGACATTATGCCTGTGAACCCAGAAATAATCATATCGAATTAAGCATTGCGTAACAATGCAACAGATCTGTCACTCAGCATACCACTCAGCACGTCTTGTAAATGTCAGGCTTTCCTGTGTTCTTGCTGTCAGCGTCGACAGTGTGTGTTTGTATATTTTTTATTTATTCATACTGTAAGCCCAAGGGCCAAGACAGGAGTTGGGGTTACATATCTGGCATGTACAAAGAACATATGTAGAAACAGTCTGGGTTGCGTACAGTAAATTAGTCTGGGTTGCGTACAGTACACACTCTAACGCAATCGTGATAAAAGGCATTCGCCTATACAATTTTTTTCGCTTGTATGAGCGTCTTATTCGACTTCGTCGCTTGCGACGCTGACACCAAATTCATCTCAGCCAGTCAAAGGCAATACATACAAACCAACAGAAATCAGAGCAGAGTCTGTAGATTTGATTACGGGGCGCGTATCTCCCGGCACTGGGCTGCTGCGCTCCAGACATCTCTTTTTCTCTTACTTTAGTCTTCTTTCTGTGCCTATTGGTCTGCACCTTGGTCAGTCTGGAAACACTGACCACTGCAACTGTGCAGTCGTCGGGTCATTGCTCCCCCGCGAAGCAAACGCTGTCTGGTTGCTGGCGAGCTGCCGAGCAATTGGCCCGTTCACCGAGAGATTACTAACAGGCCGGTTTTCTTTCTTTCCTTCTTTCTTTCTTTCTTTCTTTCTTTACTTATTTATTCTTTCTTTTTTTCTTGCCTTTTTTTTCTGGTAAGGCATGATGGACCATAACGTCAGTACGAATTATGTTTACCTTCCCGAGAGACACGGCGCTCTTAACACGACGTGACACACTCCCGTCACTCACGAGATGCTCAGACGAAGCAACTGCCGTTTATCAATGCCAGCCTAACCCTGCCTGCTGCAGCATCACCACAACGGACACCATGGCTTGTCAAACGCTTCGTGTGATTTGCGACAGATATGACGGTCAGAATTGAAGAGCAATTCTTTGTAGTTCTGTAGTCAGTTTCTTTTTCTTTAAATTAGGCATTCATATCGCTCGCTAAAATGTAATCTTTACAAATTCTGCTCTATGACTCGTTTGAAGAAAAAAAGTGAATACAAACTTGCGAAAAAACGTTGATGCTACACAAGTGTTCAATATTTATAGAAATCGCGCTGGTCTTGAACTCCATTTTTTTTTTTTTCAAAAACATAACTTACGCCACACACGCGTAATGTACAAGTCACCGGTACCACAAAATACTGCTTCGAACATGCGTGAAGCTAACGATCTCTCCAATGCTATTCACCATGCCTTTACAGAAAGTTTTCAGGACCCGCGACTGGGAAGAATTAGGGTAAAAGTTAATTATTAGTATCTTAGTAATCTGCGATTCAATGATGACAATGCCTTGAGTGCCCCGCCATGGTGGTCTAGTCGCTAAGGTACTCAACTGCTGACCCGCAAGTCGCGGGATCAAGTCCCGGCTGCGGCGGCTGCATTACCGATGGAGGCGGAAATGTTGTAGGCCCGTGTGCTCAGATTTGGGTGCCCGTTAAAGAACCCCAGGTGGTCGAAATTTCCGGAGCCCTCCACTACGGCGTCTCTCATAATCATTTCGTGGTTTCAGGACATTAGACCCCACAAATCAATCATCAATCAATGCTTGAGGAGTAACTCAGGGGATGAATTACAGCTCATGACTACTGAACTTGTTATTATGGCTCGACATAGCCGATTCTGTAACGAACGGCAATAGATAACTCAGAGTGTACTGGACACAACTACGCTTTAATGGGGACAGAGAATCAGAAATAGAAGAACACGTGCGTGGTGGGTCAGCCCTTTGCTTCCTCTTCTTTCCTAGGTCCCAACATCTTCCGGGGCTTCAGTTGTGGTGGCTCCGATCTCTAAATAGTGTATCTTCTGCGCCGGTCTTTTCAAAACTTTTCCGCTACCCGGGCGTAATAGGCAAGCGCGAACGATTCCGTCATTGACGGGATAAGCTTCTTCGAATCTTGCCAGAGGCCACATAAAAGAAAACTGTCTGTCAAGAAAGGGAGCATATGTCTCTTCTATATATTTCAGCAATTTGCTGCCTACTAGTCCTCCCATTAGCTCGAGGCGTGGCAACGAGAGAAGCTTCAATGCGGCGATTCTTGATTTTGCAGCAATCAGACTTGTGCTGACGTCACATTTAGCTAGCTCACACTGACGTCACATTTAGATATGCGCACGCTCCATAAGCTTTAGTGATGGTGTCCACAAATACGTGTATTTGAACGTCACGAATATCATCTACCTTTACCGTCAAACGTCGGGCAACATTGGCCTTGGCAAGGTGAACCAAATCATTCCTCCAGCTCTTCCACTGCCGCACTATATAATCTGGTAGTTCTTTATCTCAGTTGTCTTTACGAAGCCACAGCTTCTGAAATAACATCTTCCCTCGCACCACGAAAGGAGCAACAAGTCCCAGTGATGGAGGCGGAAATGTTGTAGGCCCGTGTACTCAGATTTGCGTGCACGTTAAAGAACCCCAGGTGGTCAAAATTTCCGGAGCCCTCCACTACGGCGTCTCTCATAATCATATGGTGGTTTTGGGACGTTAAACCCCACAAATCAATCAATCAATCAACAAGTCCCAGTGGGTAATAAACTCTAGATACTGTTTGCAGAAGAAATTGTTTTGTATCTTGAGCCTTCTCCAGGAATGAGAAGATATTTGGGGAGCTGTAAGTAAGGCTGTCAATCGCCTTGTTTCATGACATTCCGGGGACTTTCGTTTTGGATGTCGTTTGTCCCCCACTGTTAGGTAGAGCTGGCTCGTTTGAGTCGAATATGTCCTGCGGCTCTTGAGAACTTGTTGTCCACTTTCTGAGTGACTTTCCAGCGTCAGTCATTATTTCTTTTGCGGTAGCGTATAGCAGCTTGTAAATTATCTGCCCAAAAAAGCAAATCGTCTACATAGAATGACTTGGCCAGTAGTTGAGCCACTCTCTGCTGCTCGTTGTCTACACATGCTTTGAGGTGATGCTGACCGGTCGCTGTTAGCATGAATGAATTTGATACCGATATGAAAGGTACTCTCGTCATTCGCCAGACCTGTATGTCGTCTTCCCTGAATGATAACGTTGGCTTTTCAGCAAACCACAAGAACCTAAAGAGATCTCGGTCTTGTGCTCCAACACCAACCTGCAGAAACGCTTTTTCTATGTCTACAGTCATTGTGACCTTGTACCAGCGAAATCTCATGAGGACTTGTAGTATCTGAGGATTCAAGTTCGGACCAGGTTTGTAAGCAATCATTCAGCAATATCTGGTCTCGTGCATGCAATGAGGCATCGACTATCACCCTCAGCTTCGTAGTGAGCGAGTCTTCACAGATAACTTCTCTGTACGGCATGTAGTATGTACGCTCCTCCTTGAGTTTTTTTTGGGCGACTACTTCTGCGCGTCCCGAGTCAATATATTGAGGGATGGCATGGTCGTACGACTCAAGCAGGCCATCTTTAGTTGAAAGTCTGCGTACAAGACTCTGAAGGCGGTTATGTGCTACAAGGTAGTTATCTTCGATTACCTGTATGTCAGGTTCCACGCAGGGCACTGCAACTTCGTATCTTCGATCTTTATTGGCAATATTCTTTATGGACCTGGACAAGGTGCTTGAAGAAGTGAGCCGTTCTTCCTCTGGTGAGATGCCCATAACGTCCAAATTCCAAAAGGATTGCAGATCATCGTGAATCTCCTCTTGCGTATGTATATCTGTCCTTAATACGCATACCATAACCATATATGGGCTTTGAACAAAGCTCCGTTTCTTCACGAGTCCTTGCAACGTCCATCTCAATATGGTGTTAATAGCCACTAGTCCTTCAATTTCTTGGCTTCTAAGACATTCACCGGTTATAATTTTTCATATTTGATCTGATCAAATAAGCAAGCTTATTCCAGGCTCAGCTTGCGCCATGGGAATAGTAAGCTCGTCCACTAATGCCATCAACAGTGCACGTAGGTTCTTGCTAAACGAACAGTCAGTATACGTTACTGCGACTTCTTGACAAATGACCGGTATAGTGATAGCTTCGATGATCTGTTCTTTTTTGCCAAACTGACTTCTCACGCGAAATTTGACTATTTTACTTCGCCGTGGTTGGGAAGGTACTTCAGACGTAAATGTATTGATTGCGAGCTTCATTTCGCTGATTACTTTCAGCTGCAAACGTTCAGTGAGTTCTCCCTTTATAAATGTGCGCTGGCTGCCGCTGTCTAACATTTTTTTTATGTTGCAAGCCTTATTATCTCATCCCACTCAACAACGGAAGGTTTGTAGATTACTCTTTCGTCAAGTTGGCAGCTCGTTACGACTGTTCATCTTTCACCCTTATCTGACTGCGTTTCATTAACAGATGCTGTCATAGTGCTCAATTTTTTATCACTTATTTTCTTTGCGTTTGGGTTACAAATAGTTCATGAGTGCCTTTTCTTGCAAGACTTGCATTCTATGCGTCTTCTACGATCTCTGGCTGGGTGTCCTGGTATAGTGCATTTATAGCACCTCATATTTTTGCCTATAGTCTCATCTTTTTTCTCTTCGAGTGTTAGAGAACCGTCGCATACTTCTGTTTCATGTCTGTTGGATTTGCAGAAGAAGCACTCACGATATTTCTGCTTTTCTGTATGTGTGGTATGCAGCACAGATGCCAATGGAACATGCTTGCTGTTGTAAGTGCGTTCAGACGAGTCCTGTGCCCCGGATCGCTCCCGGCTTTCGATTTCGTTGCGGGTAAACTGTAGCAAGCCCTCGAGCTCTTGACAAGATGACGCTGTTCCTTCATATGTGGCAATTGATGTTCGGGACATGACCTCATTTATACGACGCTGGCGGTGAAAAGAAATGATGATTGCAGAAGTGCTTTTAGGAGTATATCATAGAGCATCGCAGAAAAGCTGCTTGTTGGCACCCTGAGCGCGTCGAGACCACGCATGTTCATCTGAACTTGATCGTATTGATTGCACAGCTGCTTTACATCAGATGACAGTCTCACGCATCGAATGTCTCTCAAGGCTCGTGGATGGTGTTGCTCTATTTGCCGTTTGTCTCCATATCTGTCTTTAAGTAGCTGCACAGCGTTTCCATAGCATGCGCTTGTAGTCGCAAATGCAGCGATTTCTGCAGCAGCTATCCCTCTCAAGTAATTCTGAAGGTAATGAAACTTGTCTGTCTCACTTAGTGTTGAATGGATGGTACCATCAAACTGCTCCCAGAAAAGGTCCACTCACGTATGTTCTCGTTAAACGGCTTGATCTCTAATCGAGGCAGGCGAGGACCGACGTTGACGTTGCCGACGTTCGCGGGAGCATGAACAGTACTTGCGCGATTCCCAGCGTCTACGGCTCTTTGCAAGTTGTTGATGTCCTCGATTCGGCACTAAAGGCGTGCAAGTATCGCGACCGCTTGATCCTCGTAGTCTACTGCTGCGGCGTATTCATACGCGAGCTCCTCTGTTGGGGCGTACTCTTCCGTTTCTTCGGATATCTTTCTGAGCCTCTTATTGCTGGATGTCCGCCGCTCCTTCAATGAGACGAGTGTCACTCTATCGGCGTTGTCGCTTCCCAAAATAGCTGTCGCCTCGTTTATTATCGTGGCATTCTGAGCGCGTGCCGATGTTTTCTTCTATTTGAAACGATACATTGCTGCAGTGTACTCACAGAAAGCCTTGTCCTTGCGTACACTCGTTGACGTAGCTGGGTGTGGCCACCGACGAGGCTTACCAAGCACCAACGATTATTCTTAGAGGAAATCATTCTTGTTGCTGCTGCCGTCCGTGTCGCCGATTAGCCGCAGAACCCGGGTCTTCAACACCATATATTTATGGCTCGACATGGCCGATCGTGTAGCTCACGGCAATAAAAAACTCGGAGCGTACTGGACACAACTATGCTTTAATGGCGACAGTGAATCCGAAGAAGAAGAAAACGTGCGTAGAGGGTTTGCTTTGCTTTGCTTTGCTTTCCTAGATACACGGCACAAACCCACTTTGGGAGATCAGCCAAGAATGCAGCGTCGAGATTACTAAATGTCATTTTAGGAAAGCTATGAAATTTAAAACCAAAAATAAATAATTAAAATAGCAATATTACGTAAAATATTCATTTTGAATATAAGAAATATGCTTTTGAGCCTGTTTTCCAGACTGCCGTAGTGAGCTGACGGGAATAATTTTGAAAACATAAGTTTTACTTTAACGGAATGACGAAGAATTTTGAGTACAAGATTAAAATGGTACTCGTTGAATATTTATAATGAAATTACACACGGCATTAAAGGCATTTTTGTGGTAGTATACCAAGCCAAAAGCACCATCACCTAAAATATTTTCCTCCGATAAGGTCACGTCTAATTTTGTAAAAGGAGTAATTAATTTGAGTAGTTCTGATACGATAATATCTTGCACATGACAAAAAGTAATCAGCCAATTGCTTCCTCTTCTTTCCTAGGTCCCAACACTTGTCACAAAAATCAGAAGATTAGGTCTGAAAGTTAATGCGCACAAAACTGAAGTAATGTGCAACGGTCTCGGCCAAAGCAACGCTTTGCGATTGGTGCAGATACGCTAGAAGTTCTAAAAGAATATGTTTAGTTAGGGCAGCTAGTACCCGTGGAGCCGGACCATGAAATAACTATAAGAATAAGGATCACATTGGATACGCATTCTCAAATCGTTCATGGATATTTACCACTAACCCTCAAAAAAAAAAAAAGGTATAACAGCTGCATTTTGCACATACTTACCTACAGAACAGAAACCTGGAGGATTACGATAGAGTTTAGCTTAAATTGAGGACGACGCAGTGAGTGATAGAAAAGAAAATGATAGCTGTAACCTTAAGAGAAAAGAAGAGAGCAGTAGAAGGGTTGATAGGCGGGCTAGTTGGTATGTATTCATAATGATGCATTGGAAGCGCAAACTAACGGAACGCAAAAGAAGAGTCGAACGAGCACAGACTGAAACATGTTTTATTCAACGAAGATATTATTTACCAGAAAGACAAGAAGGAAAAGCTAAATGCAAGAAAACAGTTGTATTGATGGTAGTGTCCGCTCACCGTCTATATCACTTTTAGATTCCGAAATCTCGTTTCTGAACGAAACTTAATCACGGTGGAACCTTCTCTTTTGCATTTTCCTATCCCTTCGGGTCTTTCTGGTATATATTATCTTCTTTGAATAGTTTCGGCCTGCGCTCATTTTTCTCCTCCTTGGTGTCTCGTTAGTTCGGGCTTTCATTATTTCATTACAAAAAAAAAATCAGAGCAGAGTGGATCAGGGAACAAACTTGAATTAAGAATATCATGGTTGAAATCAAGAAGAAGAAATGGACATGGGCCGGACACGTAGTGCGTAGGAAGGATAACCGCTGGTCATTAAGGGTAACTGCCTGGATTCCTAGAGAAGTTAAACGCACGAGGGAGAGACAGAAAGTTAGGTGGGCTGATCGGAATTTAAAAGTTCGCAGGTGTAACGTGGCAGCAGAAAGCACAACACCGGATTGATTGGTGGATAATGGAAGAGGCGATTGCCCTGCGGCAAACGTAGTCAGGATAATGATTACGATGCATCGATCGTATTTGAGGCACAAGGCTTGCCGAAACATGATGACTGTTCGCATTGCCAGTAACTGACAAACGAGCAATGAAAAAAAAAAAGCTACCCACGGGGTGAGAGCCAACTGATTTTTTTTCATTGCCCTTTTTCTTTCATGTTTACTTATGCTTGCCGAAGTTCTCATTGTTTATTTCTAGACTTCCTTGTTTTCCCTTTCTGCTTCGCTCCACCAATAATAATTCATAAGTTCGTGGTAGCGCAAATAGTTATAAAGTCATACCAACTAACTCCTCTCCCAGCGCCTTTACTTGCTCAAATATGTGAATAACGCTAAATACCTTCAAATGTGACGCCATCTAAGTCAATTTACGAAAACGACAAACTACGACCATGCTTAGAACAAATCCAACGTTGACTATGTTAACGATGACGAATAGAATGAAAAACTGAAATACTATGCCAACTGGCGAATGTGGAGGTATAAGTAATAAAACTTGCATAGTGGCGTAGACACTCTGGCCCCGAAAACAGAAGGTCGAGCATTACCCAGATTCTCAAACTTTCTTGATCCGCATTACCTTATTAGCGATTGCCCTGGCACGTGCAATATGGTATCCGTTGAATAAATTGTTACGCACTTTAGGAAGCACTCTCGGGCACGATACTTTCATCTTCGCGATACGATCACGTAGTATGCTACATTTCTGCGACCTCCTAAGAGGGCGCATGAAATTCATATTTAGGTAAGTGTCACGTGCAGGCCAAGAGCACTCGTGCACCCACAAGAAGCGCGTTATTAGTTATTTTGTATCCTACTCTCATCTAGCCCTGACTAACACTAATGCTGATAGAAGCGCACAGGAATGAACGTCAACTACTCATCGCAGAAGATAAAATGAGAGACAACATAGTCGATCACAAAAGCAGATTAGCTGTCGTGATCTTATTACAGACTCTCATTAAACCAAATTAGTTCTCTGCGGCCCGCCTTAAAAAAATTGAGTTTACGTGATTTCAATGTGTATAAGGTCGACTTTATGAGCGCTACTAATGAAGAGGAAAGCGAAAGCGCAGTACCATCTTAAGTGTGAGCTCAG